GTCGCAGTAGTTTTATTCCGTTATTTTTTCTTCTTTTCTTTTTTTTTTTTTTTTTTTTTTCGACGTTTGTAACACGCACACGCGAACATTTTTCCTCTTGCTTTTATAAAATGAAAGAAAAAAAGAGAGAGAGAAAGAGAGAGAAAGAGAGAGACAGAGAGAGAGAAAGAAAGAAAGAGAGAATACTATGTACTATTGCAATGCTTGGAATCCGGTGATTTTAGAGACGAAAATTGAGGAAGAGAAAAGGTGTAACTGAAAGTGCAAACAAAAAGTAAAGAAAAAAAGAAAGGAAAAAGAAAAGGAAAATAGGAAAAGAAAGTATCGCATTTTTTCACTTCGACTTTTGATGTTTCGTACGTTCAAAGGAAAATTGGCTAGTGATAGTAGAAAATGGTGAGACTGTGATGGAACCGCGAAATGGTTCCCTGCAAGATTCTTTGACGACGAGTTTTACGAAAAGAAGAAAAGATAAAGAAAAGTCATGATTAGAAATATAAATGGAACAAGAAAATCTGAAGAAAGAAGAGAAATGAACTTTTATACGACTTATGCGGAAAATAGTATTATTCTTTTTTTCATAGTGTAAAAAAAAAAAAGATGTTCTTTTGTTAGAACATTTCTTATTCTTTCGAAGAATGAAATACGACAAAAGTTAATTGAACTATTGGAAAAGATTTTTTTTTCAATTAGTTTAATATGATAAAAGAGATGATTCGATTTATCCGATTAAAAAAGAAATGTCAGCATTAATTTTACATATGAATATCGTACGAAAAAAAAAAGAGTTATTCCGTTGCGTTTAAAGATATTTTCAAACCCTTTTTTGACAAAAATACGTAATTCAATGTTTAAAATTGTAAATAATTGTTCAATATTTTTATTCGATCGGATGAAAAAGTTAACATTCTAACTTCTTCTTTTTTTTATATATATATATATATATTTATGCAATATATTTTTTATTTTTAAATCGAGTTTGATTAGAAACGAAAAGAAATGATGGGAAAAGAATAGTAAAAGAAAAGAGAGAGAGAGAGAGAGAGAAAAAAAAAGAAGAAATACGTGTAAAATAAACGATTCTGGAAAGTCTTAAAAGATCAGAAAAGTGATCTTGATATATTAGTCTTCGTCTCTTTCGAGAGGAAGTCGGAAGGATGTCGTTGGTTGGCAAGACAAAGAAGGAAAGACGTCAAGTTAGCAATGGCACGCGTTAAGAGTTGGATCTAGGATGTTGGTAAATGGTAGGAGAGTCTTATCTCTTACACCTAGTTTCCGTTGAAAGAGCAGAAAAATATCTTGAAACTTTGCTCTTGTGTTCCTTCTCCCTTTCTCTCATTCTTTCCCTATCTTTCTTTCTCTTTCTTTTCGTTTCTCCGCAATTATTCTTCCAAGTTTCCTTGGCCCTCGAGGCTCTCTCTCTCTCTTTCTCTCTTTCTCTCTCTGTCTGTCTGTCTCTCTCTCTTTTTTTCATTTTCATTTTCTTTTTTATTTTACGATCAAGAATGTATAGATTTTAACTTTTCCTTCTCCCATTTTCATTGAAAAATAGTTCGACCATCTCCCTTTTTTTTTTTTTTTTTTTTTCTTATTCTTTGTTTCCTCATTTTATTTTATACCATTTGTAATAATAATAATAATAATAATAATGAACAAATTTATAAAGATTTTCGTGATCAATTGTGTAAATAATCTTTTCGCATTTTTATTTTTCTTTGATTGAAATTTTGAAGCAATTACAACAGTGATGCCATTTGTTTTTCGACCAACACTCTTGTTACGACAAATTTAGGAAAATTTGTAAGAATATGATAAACCAATATTTTAACGTACGAGATATACACGTTTGCCAATTTAATTCGCGAATAAAAGAAAAAGAAAACGTATCTAAAGAAAATCACTTAAGAATTATAAATTATATATTTTCTTTTAATTTATGCAACTATCAAAATGCTCGAGCAATTGTTTATACAATTTTTCCCTTTTACAAAATTGAACCGTGTTCGCGAAAGTGTTAAAAGAGACAAATATCTTTGGGGAAAGTATAAAAGCAAATATTTAGTTAAATTCATCTCTCAGCATCGATTAGGAACGTTAACATGGTCGATTCAAACACGCGATACACGTTAGGTAAGTACACATACATACATACATACATATAGGACGCTTGTCGTTTACATCTGTCGACGACGAGCGTGTTTACATCGATGAACTAAAGCCGCTTCGAGCCGAACCGTCGACGAGTCAACGTTAACGTCCGTCCAACCACCGTTATTTAGCTCTTTGCGTCAAACCTATACATATCATATACATATATATATATATATATATACACATACATGTACATATACACATACGTTACACTATCATGTAACAGATACCAAAATCGTTCCTCTGACCAAAAGTGAAATTTACATTAGCACATCGAACAACCGCCATGATCAAACCAAAACAAAATTTTCTACTCGATTAAACGCATTATTACTCTTTACCCTGTGTTCATACTTAACGTTGTATAAAGAATGATTAATCAATAATCGATAATGTTTATTCTACTACACGATACTAATAATGCTTTTTTTTTTTTCTTTTTTCTTTTTTCCCCCTCCCATTTTTACTATGATACTTTAAAAATGAAATTTAAATACAATCGATGATATTCAAATATGAATTCATTCTATCTTTATGCTTGGTTTTTTTTTTCTTTTTTTTTTTAAATATTCTTTACTTATTTTTTCTTTTTTTATTATATTTATTTTTTGAAACATTATGCGAGAGAGATGATTAAAATATCGACGTAGGTTTTTTTTTTTATATACTACCCCCGTTAGGCGTGATTTATTATAAGATTTATAATGAATTTGAGAGTACTTTCTTGAAAAATTGATGAGAAAGATAGAGAGATAGATAGAGAGAGAGAGAGAGAGAGAGAGAGAGAGAGAAAGAGAAAGTAGATTGATGCATATTATATCATTCAACACGTAAGCATAAAAAAGGGGTGAAAAAAAATACTACGACGTGCCTGCGTTTGTTTTCCTCCTTGACATTTATTATAATATCTCATTGTTTGTCTTCGAGTACAATTTTTTTTATTCATTATTCTCCGGAGTTTGTTTCGTAGGTTTTTTTTTTCTTTTTTTTTAATATTTTTCGATTCGTATGATTTTTATCATACGAATTTATTATATTAATTTTTCGTATGATTTCAGCGAATACGAGTTGTTCTCTCTCTTAACTTGTGAAATAATTTGCAAAATTTTTACATTTTGGAAGTCGAATGGAAAGGAAGTTGGGGGGTTATGGTAGAAAGGGAACACTTTTATATCCGTTAATCGACAGAAACGTATCCGTTTACGCGGACTCGCTTTGACGCATTCATATCGTTCATTAAGCTTCGTGTCACGCGTTAACTCGTCGCACGGAATGGCAAATTCTCGTAAATTCAACAAAACGATTATTCGAACGTTGATTCGTTTTCGTAAACGAAGAGAGAGAAAAAGAGAGTGAAAGAGGGAAAGAGAGAGAAAGAGAGAGAAAGAGAGAAAGAGAGAGAGAGAGAGAGAGAGGAAGAGTTAGTCACACAATCTCTGTGTATACGTAAGTGTGTGTGTGTGTGTGTGTGTGTGTATGCGTGTATGTGTGTATGTGTTTTGGAATTGAATCGAAAAACGATTGTACCGTTTCTTCTATTTCTTTATCAATTTCGTCCTCTAGTAAATCATTGAATTTAATCCGACGTGTGTGTGCCATTAATTAACGCTACCAAATTACAGGATCCGTTAATTAATAATAATTATCTCTTGTAGAGGAGTTTTGACGAAGGGAGAAACGCGGTTCAACGCAAACGGATCGTTTTAATATATTATATATATGTATATGTATGTGTAAGTAGGTATATATATATATATATATATAATATATATATATGTTTATATACAACATATACATATACATATACATATACATATACATATACATATACAAATACATATACATATAAATTCATACACACATATACATACATATACACACACACACACACACACATACACTCCTTTATAATTGGATCTCTTCGTTGACCCTACAAATACCTCTACACGCCGATTTATTTTCGAGTTTTCGTGTCAACGATACACAATGGATTTTCCCCGTATATAGACACAATTTTCATACCACTTTCGACAACGACGAGTTAATTAACACCCTACGAATAATTTAGGTATTATTATTTTTTTTTTTTTTTCACCTATATGAAACCATTCAAATAATAATAATATTATTAGGTGTAGAAACAAAATCGGTACCTATTCCAAAACTAAAATATACGAATTATGGCATTTTGCTTACTAATAATTTTTTGTTTCAACTAGTCGAATGTTTTTTTAATTTTATAAATGTTAATACATAATCGTTATAAAAAATGATTGGCCAATTATTTACATTGAAATCAAAATTTATAAATCATTTAATATTAAGAGACACCGAATTCAATTCTACATCTAATAATAATAATAATAATGATTTCGTGTTCGAGAAGAAATGAAGTATTTTATTAAAAAATTTTTCGATAAATCGATAATTAATTTGATAATTCATTGCTTGTTCAGTGAATTGCATTGTTTTCTTATCATTCGTATTTCTAAAATTCGATTTTTCGTAAAAATGGATAAAAGAAGAAAACAAAAAATGTGTTCTAAGTTTAAACCTTTTTTTTTTTTACAATCGGTTTTTCTTTCCACGAGGATTATCCGGATTATAGAACTTTTCCTCGTTACTTAAAACTGTGACCTCACTTCGGTCACGATTTTCTAGTATTTTATTAGCGTCCCTTAGAAATATCCTTCGATTATTCGATTTGATAATCGTTCGATTGACTTATTGAAAGATCTTTTTATTTTCCTAAGGATTTTTGGAAAAGAACGCGAGAGAACGTGTTTCTAAATTATTATTATTATTTTTTCTTTTTTTTTTTTTTTCCTTAAGATTCATAAGAAAAATGATTTTCGTTTGTTGCTTTTTTTGTTGTTTTTTTAGTTCGTAATCGAGATTTATTTCAAAATGTGAAACGTACCTCTCGATGGATTTTGAAACACGATCTAAACGGCATTGCAGCGACATTCGTTAAGGTTACTTAAGTTCGTTTACATCGAGGATATGTACAAAATGATCAGAGACACCAAAAGACAGCTCGAAGATAAAGTGGGTCCCGCTGTTCCAGTTTGCATCGCTTCCGGTCGCTCACCTGTAACCAAAAATTATGCTATTATCTCGTTTACGTTAAATACAAGTTAAGCCAAAAGTTCGGAGAATAATGATTAGCTTAAAAAGTCTTGGACAAAAAATTAATTGATTTTTTTAATTGATTTCTTTTTTTTTTTTTTTTTAGCTATCATTGAACTTTTGACCCAACGTGTATTAATTGATACTCGATTATTTTATGTTGTTTATTTTCTCAACATTTTCCTCGTTTGAAGGTAACAATTAATTTTTTATGAAGATGCTAATTGATACTTGATCATGTACAAAATAAATGTGATTTTACAAGATTTTCGTTTTTCAGCTCACGAAAATCCGATGTAATTTATTTTATATTGGATTGCTCGAAAAAGTAATCTCGTTTTTTTTTTTTTCACACAGATTTCGTTAATCACATTTATTGATACGTCAACGTTTTTTAATCCTTATAAAGTTATTTTACGATTATAGTTACGCGAGTATATTAACGAATGAATATTTTTCTATTTATTTCAAAAAAAAAAAAAAAAGAAACAGATGTTTGAAAGTTTGTATGAAAAATATTAATCGTACTTGCACCTATATATAAATTATTTTTTTTCGAATAATCTGTCATGTTAAAAATTTTTAATTTTAATACCAATTTAATTCATACCAATACAAATTTTAAATGAGTGAAATTAAATATCTTACTTTTTTTCTATTATTTTTTTTCTATATATATTTTTTTTTTAATATAATAATATAAGCTTTATGTTGTCGTTGTCGTAGGTATGAAAGTTTGAAAAGGGTGTTCCAAATCGCGTGACCCTTTAGGTCCGGCATAACTTTAGTACCCTTTTATTTACAATACTCGAGCCATCGTGCTCGTGTCTTTGCTGTTTTATGAAAGAAATGGAAAAGCAATTTCCTCACGTTCTCTTCTTGTGTCACGCATAGCTGCCACTGTATATATGTATTTACATATGTATATGTATAAGGTATATACGTTCGTGAGCACTACTACATCAAAAACTCGTACAATTTTCTGAACTCGTAAACTGAAGGAAACTATACACAAAACTATAAATCCGTTTCGTTTCTCATTTCTTCATATTTCTTTCTTTCTTTCTTTCTAGTTTCTTTCATTCAGTATTTTTCGAAGAGTTTAAAAAAGAATATTAGACTTTGGTTCTTTTTTTGTATACAGTTAATGCATATTGCGTAGAAAAATCGTGTTAAAAGAGTTACGACAAAATTGATTTATGTAAAAGTATAATAACATGTGTTAAACTAATGCGAATTATACCAAAATGCAATTTAAAATAAAGAACTGGGTTTATTAAATAATTTTTTGTTATATAAAAACGACGGAGAATAATTAATTTGTTGATGAAAATGTGTGTGGAAACAAAATTATACTATTTTCCTTTCTTTTAAATATTCATGATTCTCGTGATATATTTTTGTGCGAACTAATTAGCGTGAATTTTCAGGAGCGCGTGTAAAAGAAAATAGAATATATTAATGAAAACTTAAAAAAATATATAATTCGAATAGAAACCCAAGTTTAATTATAATAAACAATTCGTGTGTACATAATTGAATAATTTTAAATTGAAAAACGTCTCTTGAATAAAAAATAAAATCATTTTATTTATATTTCTTTATAATAATCTTGAAATTTTTTTTTTTTTTTTGGCTAAAAAAGAATATTTTTAAAATCTTTCTTACGAGTTTGAAAAAGAAAATTTTCACTTTGTACGCAGACTTTATCGCATTATCGTTTATGCTTATAAAGTATCTCAAATGTGTATACGAAAGAAGATTATCCTAGTCGTAGAAAGAATTTCTTCTTTGAGAAAGATTCGCAAACATGATGGCGACCTAAAAATATCGTAAAAATGAAATGGATCCTGAGAGTTAGGAGGAAAGGTTCGTAAAAGTTTCTTAATCGATGCAGGAAAGAATTTTGGTCGACCGGGGATGTAGACGGCTGTTGATTCAACTTTTACAACTAATAATAAAAATAACGGAATTAGGATTGACTGAAATAATTCAACGCTTTTTTTGTTCGTTAAATAAAATCTATTTAAATAAATAGACTTTGAGACGAGCCAATGTTATTCAATAAATGTTATAAGACTATACTATAGCAATCGGATAAGAAGAAGTCCGAAAATTGATTGGAATATATTCGTTCAGATTTTAGGCAATTTTTATAAATATTATTATTAAATTATACAGGGGTTTTTTTCAAATAATTTTATTTAAGTTTTATTCTAATTGTGTGCGCGTGTATTAAATATATAGAATTCAATTTCGTATTAAATCACCGGCGTACAATATTTACCGTAGAAACAGACAAAACTTATTCCATCTTCTTCCATTGATGACTCATCCACTTATGGGAATTGTCAATAGATTCTTATAAAATTTTCGCTTTATTCAATATATATCATCGGATATTTTCTCGATATAGCAATGATATCAAAAAAATTAGGACGATTGGTTTAACACAATAATATTCACTTCAGATATTCCCTATCCGTCTTTCCGCCATTCCCGGTAGCTCAGAGTACAAATCCTGCCAAATTGATTTGGCATGGTACCTCTTTTGCTAGTTTTCACTTCTTATCATTTTCAAAATAGAATATAAAGGAAAAATAGTGAAGTAGCTTGCTGTCGAATTTCAAGTTTCCTTGTTATACGAATAATCGAAGGGTTCATCCTTCTAAGGAGTCTTGTTTCGTAAGAAATAAATGTCCCTAGGGTGAAGAATGGTGGTCACGTTTCTGGATAATATACAGTCACTTTACTTTTCTTCCATCAACCAACCTACCATCATAGTCCTCTTATTCATCATAATACTCGAGTTCTTCTTAGCTCCTTGATGAAGTCACGAGAGAATTCGGATGTTAAGGAAAGATGGAGTCGGCGTTAGGTCGTAAACACTTACCATGGAGTACGTGAACCCTAATGGAGGCCGTATTGGCATTGCTGGGTTTGCAGCTGTATTCCCCAGAGTCGGAGGGTTGTGCAGCTTGGATGAGAAGCCAGGAGGTTGTGACGTCGCCACCCTTTTCGGTTATCACCGAAACACCGCCCCTGGGACTGTCGTAACTGAGGACGTTCTCATTGTAGTACCAGAAGATGTAGGCCGGTGGTTCCGAGCTGAAGTGGATGGCACACGTCAAATTTATCGTACTTCCTGCACCGACGTACATTTCTGGACCACCTAGTATCGTTGCTGTAGGTACTGTAATAAAAAAAAAAAAAAAAAAAAAA